GGGGGGGGCACACTTAATGTGTGTGAGTCAGTTCTCAGCACCAAAAGTAGAACTTTCAGCCAAGTGTGACTATATACACCTATAATCCCAGCATTGGAGAGCCGGAGACAGGAAGTCAAAGAGCTCATGTCTCAAGAAGTTAACAGCTGGGTGTGGTAGCACAGGCCTGGAATCCTAGCACTCTGGAGGCAGAGGCAAGCAGAAATGTGAGTTGGAGGCCAGCCTGGTTTACAAAGTGAGTTCCAGGACATCCAGCACTACACAGAGAAACCCTATCTCAACAAAACAAAAAGTGCTGGAGATGGTTCAGCAGTTAAGAGCACTGGCTGCTCTTCCAGAGGCCCTGGGTTCCCAGCACCCACATGGCAATTTACAACTGTAACTCCAGTTCCAGGAGATCTGACATCCTCACACAGACATATATGCAGGCAAAACACCAATGCACATAAAATAAGCATTGAAAAAATTTAGAAAAAGTAACAAAATTTTTACAAGACAGCTTGTGATGGTATATGCTAATCCCAATAGTTGGGAGGCTGAGGCAGGAGGATTTTAAACTAAGGCTAGCCTAGGCTTCATAGTTCCAGGCTAGCCTGGACTAACTACATACATAGTCAAACTGCTTCAAAACAAAAATGAAAGACAGACTTCTCCCCCATGACACCCCCAGAAAGATTCTCCATAGCCATTGCACCTTGTTTGCTACAAACTTACTTTTTTTCTACATAGGCACTTTCCATTTTCATCTCAAATTTCAAAGCCATCAAGTCTTAGGCACTTAGTTTTTTTAGTGACTCACTTGGAGTAGCTCAAAGCCAGTCTTGCAGAAGAGAGAAAAGCTGTCCTTGGCTTGCACCGGTGAAATGTGACCATTGGGTGGCACCGTTGGATCAGGGCAGGGCTGTCCTGTCAGAGGAAACAGGCTTATTTATTTCTGAAGTCTGTAACAGCCAGGTCTGAATTTAGCAATCTGCATTCTTGATTATAAACAAAATAAGAGGCAGAGAGAGCCTGCCTCAAGTATGGTGGTGCTCTTTTTTGGTTTGTTTTTTTGTTTTGTTTTTTGGGTCAGGGTTTTTCAGGCGTGCGCCACCACAGCCCGGCTCAAGTATGGTGGTGGTCTTCACATTTAATACCAAAGGCAAAATTAAGCTGAGTCACTTGTACAAGTTTGTTTCTTTGTCCATGACTCAGCTACAGGGATGGAAAGATAAGGTGCTGCAGTTAAGAACGCTGCTTTCAGCCGGGTGGTGGTGGCCTCCTCCACCGGGTCAGGAAACAGGGACCTGCTAAAGATGTCCTGAGATCAGCCCCAGGGGAACCAGTAGAGGGAGGAGGGTCTCTGTGTGAATTGAGGCTAATCCCTGCTCATTCAGTGCCCCAGCAACAAAATAATGGACCTAAAGCAAACCCTTTGCAAGTGCCTATGGCCCTGGAGAGGGTTCCCACCATCAGGCTGTGCTGTGAGGCCAGGAGGAGTAAGATGAAGGGATCCAGGTTGCTCTACTGCCCTCTCGGCTCTCCCCAGCTCCCCCCCAAGACACACACAGCCACAGTGGAGATGGAGGAGGCAGGTTTATTGTTTTATGGGTAAGTGAGTTATTGCTGTAGCTGGCAGCCATCCAGCCTGACACAGAGCTGCGGTCGTGGGATGCACTAACATCTGACCATTGGGGTGGGCAGGCTGGAGCTGAGGGAGGTTAGAGGCTCTGCTCTGGAAGAGAGATGGGGCATCAGAAAGACTGGAGAGCAGGGCAAAGGATCAAGGAACAGGGTAGAGGAGGCCAAAGGGTTCAGGGGCTGGGGCTGCCTGCACCGCCACCCCCCCATCCTGAGGGTCTGTAAGAGAAGGAGTGCTCCAGGTGTGCCAGGCTTACTCAGAGGCACCAAGCCTACCTAGGAACCACGCAGAAGGAAGAGGCCATTTGGCTGGGGAGGAGTCAGGTATGCTAACAGAGTGGGAGGAAACAGAAGAGCCCACCCCCGTGAGCAGAACAGCTCCTACCTGGGGAGCTGGAGAGCTGGAGCAACCTGGTGCGATGGGGTGCCCCACCCCCTCACCTGAACAGGTGTGCTTGTTCTGGTGAAGAACGTAGCCCGCTCTGCAGGAGCAGTAGTACCCGCCCCCAGGCTGGGGCTGTAAGCCAGGACTAGGACACAGGATGCACCTGTGGTTATTGGCTGACAAGCAAATCACAGAGATCCCATGGGGACTGGGGCCCAACAATATTGAGTCTCCCATGTTATACAGTTATTTCTGTGACACAGTGCAGCCACCACAAGGAAATCTTAACAGGCCAACAATGGCCTGACATAACCAAACACATTTTACTCCCAGTTAGAGAAAAGACACGTTCATAAGAGTCATCTACATACCAACTGTTTATATGTGTTTGAATTTCTATGAAAAACATGAAGAAAAAGATGGAACAGCCAGATGTAAGCAGAGTTTCAAAACTAGCTAGCTGTGGGTCACTGGACTAAGAACATGAGCTCTCACAGAGCAATGGTATCCATACAAACATGGTATGGCTTTGTGGTAGTTTGAATGTAATTGGCCCCTATCAGCTCATAGGTAGCAGCACTATTAGGAGGTGCAGCTTTGTGGGAGTGGGTATGGCCTTGTTGAAGGAGGTGTTTCAGTGTGGGGGTGGGCTCTGAGATTTTTATGCTCGTGATAGCACCCAATGTCTCAGTAGACTTCCTGTTGTCCACAAGATGTAGGAACCTAAGTTAAAAAATAATTCGAAGAGAGAGCATCTAAGGAATTCTGCCTTTTAATGTTTACTTGGGAACAGCAGAGCATTGCCATGACAACCCCCATGCCATCATAAATCATGGGTGTAGTCAAAGAGCTTGGGGAAGCAACAAAATAAAGCAATCCCTTTGCAAGTGCCTATGGCCCTGGAGAGGGTTCCCACCATCAGGCTGTGCTGTGAGGCCAGGAGGAGTAAGATGAAGGGATCCAGTTTGCTCTACTGCCCTCTCGGCTCTCCCCAGCTCCCCCGCAAGACACACACAGCCACAGTGGAGATGGAGGAGGCAGGTTTATTGTTTTATGGGTAAGTGAGTTATTGCTGTAGCTGGCAGCCATCCAGCCTGACACAGAGCTGCGGTCGTGGGATGCACTAACATCTGACCATTGGGGTGGGCAGGCTGGAGCTGAGGGAGGTTAGAGGCTCTGCTCTGGAAGAGAGATGGGGCATCAGAAAGACTGGAGAGCAGGGCAAAGGATCAAGGAACAGGGTAGAGGAGGCCAAAGGGTTCAGGGGCTGGGGCTGCCTGCACCGCCACCCCCCCATCCTGAGGGTCTGTAAGAGAAGGAGTGCTCCAGGTGTGCCAGGCTTACTCAGAGGCACCAAGCCTACCTAGGAACCACGCAGAAGGAAGAGGCCATTTGGCTGGGGAGGAGTCAGGTATGCTAACAGAGTGGGAGGAAACAGAAGAGCCCACCCCCGTGAGCAGAACAGCTCCTACCTGGGGAGCTGGAGAGCTGGAGCAACCTGGTGCGATGGGGTGCCCCACCCCCTCACCTGAACAGGTGTGCTTGTTCTGGTGAAGAACGTAGCCCGCTCTGCAGGAGCAGTAGTACCCGCCCAGGTAGTTGTGGCAGTAATGGTCACAAGGAACATCTTCCCCCAAAGACACTCGGCATTCATCCACATCTGGGGGGCGGGGTAGGCAGGAGGGAAGAGCTCAGGCCTCAGGCAGAGAGGCAAATGCCACCCAAGCTAAACCAGTGACAGGTCCAGTCCGGCTCAAAGCTGCCCGAACAGTGAAGGGAACAGCCACCACCAAGCCCGTGGAAAATAGAGTAGATGAGGTTCCATGGACCCCATGCAGTGGTTTTCTGAGCCACTTGCCTGAAAGTCACACAGATAGTCCCTTCAGGGACCAGTGTGCAGTCAAGTGTGAGTTCACATGCTGAGGCCTGTGCAAGTTCTTTGTAACCTGATCCAAGCTCCGTGGCATCATTAGCAGTCGCCAGTGTGAGGAGGACCAGGCATTATGCTGGCCTGGCCTGGCCTGTCTGCCGGCAGAACGCACTCAGCCAGTACCCTGGTCAGCCCAGGTGCAAAGGACCCCTCTAAAAGAAAGACCCTGGCCACTTACACTCTCTTTCCCACTCTTTTTCTGCTGTTTCCTGGGGCAAACAGGATTTTTCCTGTCTCCCTATTTCTGTCCTCTCTCTGTCTCCGTGTCTCTACCCCCCCCTTCCCTTTCTAATAAAACTTCTCACTTAAGCTCTGTCTGCCTGACATGTTTGTCCCCTGCCTTGGTCACCCTCATCTGCCAAAGTTCACCTAGTACATTATCATAACAACCAGGCTCTGTCCCTGAATTCACGTGGTGGGTGACATCAGGCGATGGCAGGACTCCTTTCCTGCAGGTTGACCTGAATCCAGAGCCCCAGGAGAAGTGAGGGCAAGAGACCCAAAGATGAGGATGAGGCTAAGACAACGCAAGCTGGGCAGCCTGGGCCCACTTCCTCTCACCCTCCGCTGCATAGAAGGCCTCAAAGCCTGTGAAGGGCTTCTCATTGGAGTAGTCCGTGTGGAAGGTGACCTCCAGGTTAGGACCCAGTGAGTAGAAGGTGTCATTGCCAGGCGCCTGCTCAGTATCTGTACTCTCCTGCCCACACAGTGTGGCTAGCACCTTGGTCCCTGAGCTCAACTGTGGGATCAGAGGGAGGGAAGGTTAGACCCAGGCCTGGAAATGGGAACTTTGCTGTACCCCATAAGAGGGCCCCAGCCCCACACCCCATCAGGTACCTTGACAAAGTCATACTCGCAAAGGTAAGAGAGTTCCAGGTTAAAGTGGGTGAAGTAGAGCCGCAGACGGTAGCCGGGGGGTGCAGTCAGCTTCCAGGACCTGTCCTGATTGTTGGCATAGTTCCCTGGGAAGCCAGGGGACACCAGGCGTCCAAATACTGGCTCAGGCCACTTTGAGGCCAAAAGTGTGGTCAACGAGCTCCACAGCAGGCCCAGGAAGATCAGCAGCCTGTGGGCAGGGGTGGGAGCATGAAGGCCCAGGCCTAACCCGCCTGCTCCCCCAGAGGTCATGGGTCGCTCACCCACCTCATGATGAATCCCCCAGCTCTGCAGGCCCAGCTTCACTCACCTTTGATCTGTTTGTCCAGCACCTGGCCCTGCCCCAACCTCCCAGACTCAGGGATTCTGGGAATCCACCCATGGCTCCTGCCTGCCTCACTTCCAGGCAGTAAGGATGGTGGCTCTGAGGGCCAGAAGCTTGACTTGGCCACAACCTGATAGCAGTCCTCAACTCCACCCTCAGCCACCTTCAGAGTCCTACCTGGGGGGACCAGGAAGGTCTGGTGGGCCAGAGTCTCCATGATAACACGGACTGCCTAGATGGCCCCTCAACTCAGGGAGAGATAGAAAAGGTGATTTGAAAAGACATAAGGACCCAAGAGGAGAGGGAACATGGGACAGAAGGCAGATGTGGCTACATTTGGGAAAAAGGGGTGGTTGGCAGATGGAGAGTCTCACTGGTGACGGCTGAGCCCAAAGCAGAATGAGGAAGCCAGGGCTCCTGGTTCCTGTGCTGGGCCGGAGGGAGTTTTAGCTCATCTTGAAGACAGTGTCTTTCTATTTAGCCCTGACTGGCTTTCAACTGTGTAGACCAGGCAGGCTGACCTCACACTTGTAGTAATCCTCCTGCCCCTGGCTCCAGAGTGCTGTGGGGAGGGAACTTGCATCCCAGCAATTATAGAGGGAAGAACTGAGACACACGTGGATTGGCCAATGGAGAAAAGAAAAGAGCCTTCAACTGGATCCTCGGAGGGGCTGGGGGTCTGGCTGTTTCATTGATCTCGAGGACAGTGATTTTACAGATTGTGTGCGTGCTCAGCCGTGTGTGTTCAAGTGCTTTTGGAGGACAGGAGAGCACTGGGTCCCCTGTAGAGTTACAGGCGGCTGAGAGTTTGGGGGCTGAGAACTGAACTTGAGACCTCTGGAAGAACTGAACTGACCTCTGAGTTAACTTAACTGTTGACTAAGCTCTCCAGCCCTAAGAATGGCTGTAGGGAGACACTTGGAGGATGCTACGCCCCTGTCCCCCATTATTGTCTATTAGGGTGGTGTAAGCCTAGTTAGGAATACCTTTCTTATTGTTTAGGGTTGGGATTGGAAGGAGGTGTTCAGGTTGGACACCCCTTTCAGATGACTTTAAGGCTTAGTTGGAATAGACATGGTTAGGATGTGTAATGGCAGATTATTGTAACTTCTTGTAATTCACCTTTATGATTGCTAATTTTAGACATTTTACACTATTAAGTTTTAATCCTCTTTTAGAATAAAAGGGGAATTTAGGGAGACACTGTAGCCATGATTCCTACGAGCTAGCTACAGGTGTGCTTGACCACGCCTGTCAGGGCGTGGTCAGGTGAGGTTCAGGATGACTCCTGGGAAGTTCTTAAGGGGGCTGCAGACACGTGGGGACCCCTTCTCTCTGGCCTCCCTACCTTGCTGCCTCTGAGCAAGCTCTGGCTTGTGCTTGGCCGATATTTGAATAAAGATATCTTAACCTGTAACATCTCGTTATAAATGGCATTTTATCTGTAACATCTCTGGCTGTCCTGAAACTAGCCCTATAGACCAGGCTGACCTCGAACTCACAGAGATCTGCCCGCCTCTGCCTCCAAGTGGCAAGATGGCATTTTAAGCCAGGCGGTGGTGGTGCGAGCCTTTAATCCCAGCACTCGGGAGGCAGAGGCAGGCAGATCTCTGTGAGTTTGAGGCCAGCCTGGTCTCCAGAGTGAGTTCCTGGATAGACTCCAAAGCTACAGAGAAACCCTGTCTCAAACCCCCCTCCCCGCAAAAAAAAAAAAAAAAAAAAAAAAAAAAAAAAAAAAAAGCGAAGAAGTAAACTTGGCAAAAGAGGAGGAAGTGGAGAATCTGGCACTTCCCTTGTGTCCCTCGCTCCTCAGCAGAAACATTGCTCTTGGGGGCAGTAGTAAAAAGGAGGGTCACAGGCCAGGTAAGGACACAGCACTGTCAATCTGGTGCCCATGCAAGTTTCTGTTCTCTGTGCTGGGGAATGAGCCCTGGACCCCTCATGCTAAGCATATAACCAACTACAGAGCCACACCCAAAGCCACACCCACCTTCCAGCACATGGGCTTTTTAATTTTCTAGGACAGAATGGCCTACAATTCTCTCTCCTCTCCCTGTCTCCTTTCCATTCTCTTCCTTCTCCCTCATTCTCTTTGTCTCTTTCCTCCTCCTCCTCCTCCTCCTCTTCCTCCTCCTCCTCCTCTTCCCTCTTCCTATTTCTCTTTATTTTCTTCTGGCTCCAAACACAGGACCCTTAAGGCTCTATAAGCAGACTCAGGCATGTTGCTCACGGTAAGAGTGAAATTGAGAAGCCCTATTTTGTATTCAAACCTGCCTCTTCCTTCAGCTTTTTAGACTCACTCTATTCTCTGTGAGGCAGATTCTTACTTCCTCAACTAGAACCTGCCTCCTAAAGTTTGGAGAACCTTCAGGAATAGCACCATCAGGTGCAGAGCCAAACATTCTTTTCTTTGCTTTTCTCTTCCTTCCTCCCTTTGCTCCCTCCCCTACCTCCCTCTTTCCCTCTTGGTTTTTCTTGACAGGGTTTCTCTGTGGAGCCTGTCCCGGCACTCGCTCTGGAGACCAGACTGGCCTTGAACTCACAGAGATCCACCTGCCTCTGCCTCCCGAGTGCTGGGATTAAAGGCGTGCGCCACCAACGCCCAGCGCCTGTTGCTTTTTCAAAACAAGGTTTCTCTGTGTAACAGCCCTGGCTGCCCTGGAACTCGATTTGTAGACCAGGCTGGCCTCAAACTTGCAGAGATTCACCTACTTCTGCTTCCCAAGTGCTGGGATTAAAGGTGTTCACACCAATACCCGGCTACTTTTTAATGTTTTAAAACTGTATTAATGTTTTGCTTGCATATATGTAAGTGAACTGTGTACCTGGTACCATCAGAGGCCAGAAGAGGATCAGATCCCCTGGAACTGGAGTTACAGATTGGTTGTGAGCCACCACATGGGTGCAGGGAATCAAACCGGGGTCCCCTGCAACAGCAGCAAGCGCTCTTAAAGTGATGAGCGTCCGCGCCTCGACTAAGTCCCAGTATCAGGCAAAAACCTGGAGATTTAGTTAAAAGCAGAGACATCCGGCTGCTTGTTATGTGTGTCTTTCCATCTTTATTCCTTTGCTGTTTTCCAGGGAAAGAGCAGCCTTATATACGTTTACAGCACAGTGGAAAAACCCCAGGTGGAAGAGCTTGTGGAAGAAGAGCTCGTGTTTCCCCTGGTGTAGGGGGGTAATGCCAGGGCTGTAAGCCAGGACTAGACCACAGGATGCACCTGTGGTTATTGGCTGAAGAGCAATTCAGAGAGACCCTTTGGGGGCAAGGACCCAACATCTCCCCCTTCTTTATATATAAATTAGCGCCTGTGTTAGGTGACCAGGACATTGACACTAACCTTACCCGTCAATGGAGAAACCACCCAGACTGCATGCCTCTTCTGTCTTAGGTTGACCGGTATCCCCTTGGTCTCACCCATCATTGGCTGCCTAATTTTTCCGTAGGTTCAACCATAGTTGAGCTGAAGGATTCTCTGTGGTCATTGAGTGACAAATTGAACCTAGGCTTGACTAGTGGTGAGGCACCTTAGCTAAATGAAACACAAGATAACAAGTCCTCTGCTGAAAGGCCCGGAGAAAAGGACCCAGCCCGTGATTTGACTAAACAGCCTGCCATCTGCAATCCCCTAAGGATGATCTCTCCAGAGGATGGAGGAACTTGGGTCTCATTTATCCTAATAATTTGATTGGCCAATTGATGAGTATAATTTGTTGATGAAGACTTAAACTTCCGGTGCTGGAGAGATGGCTCAGAGGTTAAGAGCACTGATTGCTCTTCCAGAGGTCCAGAGTTCATTTCCCAGCAACCACATGGGAATTGTAATGAGATTTGATGCCCTCTTCTGGCATGCGGGGACACAACAGACACAACACATGCAGACACAACATTGCATACATAATAAATAAATAAATAAATCTTAAAAAAAAAGACTTAAACTTCCTACCTGGACTAAATTATTTATATTGCCCTAAGTGCTAAGAGCCTCTGTTACATCCCCTGCCAGTTTATCCACCGCACTGGCTATAGTTACAGACTTTGAGACGGCAATCCCAGATACAGTGGCTGCTATAGCACGAACAGCAATAGCTGCAATCACCACAACAGTGATGACAAAGTCTTTTTCTTTTGTCCATCAACTTGCAAGATGGCTCGCCTGTTGAGAAACTGGAACTCTGGAACCCACTGCCTCCTTCCTTTCACAGACTGTAGATTCAGTGACATCAAGCATCAGGCACACTGGTTCAGAAGATCTAGAACTGGCTTGGGCAGGCTCCCACGGTCTCGGGTCCGGCTTTTCTCTGCTGTGGGCATCTCACCAAACATTCTGGCAGCCATCTCGATTTATTCTTTTCCTGCAAGAAAACACAAACATGCCCTCTACCTCTAAATTAGGACAGGATCGGGTCTTCTCCATTGTCTAATGTATTATGTAGAGACTGAGGACATTACTCCCCCCTTTCTTTTTCTACTAGGTTTTAAAACACTTTCTGACTGGCTGTATTAAAAGCATTTTTTAAACATTTGGCTGGGCGTCTGCCAAGGCAGCAGCTCTCAAGGCTTCGAGTTTCCTAGGTTTTGGCCTTCCTTGCCTTTTACCCTCTGGCCCGCTGTAGATCATCTGTGGCTGCCTTTCTGTCCTGAATCTCAGGCATAAGCCTGGTTCCCTATTTCCTCCTTTGTTGAGACACTGTCTGACCTGGTGCCCTCTCTGACCATATCCAAAGCAACCTCCAGAAGGCTCTGTGCCTTTCTTCCTCCTTATTCCTTGCTTTCTCTCTAATCATAGCGTATTTTTAACTGAAGTTCCTGCAAGACAGCCACCATCGCTAATCCCTGAGTGTAAGTCAGTCTGATACCTAAACAAATGTTTTTTTTTTTTTTTTTTGGTTTTTTCAAGACAAGGTTTCTCTGTGTAGCTTTGGAGTCTATCCTGGCACTCTCTCTGAAGTCCTGTGAGTTCGAGCCTGGCCTCCAACTAACAGAGATCCGCCTGCCTCTGCCTCCTGAGTGTTGGGATTAAAGGCATGCGTCACCCACGCCCGGCTTAAACAAATCTTAATGAGCTCATCTATGTCAGCCATCTTCCTATGAGGCCTTGGCGCGGCCTGGCATGCTATACAAGCATAAGCTAGCTGTTTCACAGTCAAAGATTCAACACCTGTGTCTCTGACTTTTTTTGGATAATGTCCACATTGGCCTAGAGACAAATTCTGAAATTGAAGGACTTAAAAATTAACAAAGAGGGGCTGGAGAGATGGCTCAGAGGTTAAGAGCTCTGACTGCTTTTCCAGAGGTCCTGAGTTCAATTCCCAGCAACCACATGGTGGCTCACAACAATGCGTTATGAGATCTGGTGCCCTCTTCTGGTGTACAGATATATACATGGAAGCAGAATGTTGTATACATAATAAATAAATAAAATCTTAAAAATAATTAACATAGAAATAAAATAAGGAGACTTAGAAAAACGTCCCACACTAAAAGCAGGGTGGGCTGACTTAGAAATCTAACCAAGATCACAATGACCCGAGTCCCTGGACTTTCCTAGCTGGCATCAATAACTCCCTTACAAGGCCACAAGACAACCTAACTAAATACCAAAAATCCCAGAGGGCCACCCGGCCCTGGGGTCATGAAGATAAGAACGGACTATCCCGTTGAGTCAGGAGACCATCAGGCCCCAAAGATAAGAGACCTCCAAAGGACCTGTGACTCTGGTCACATACCCAAACCCCTAAAAACTAATGGTTTTCTCCTACAAAACAAGCCTGCTTTTGAGTAACGGGGCTTCCTTTGTCTGTCGGACTGGGAGGCCCATTTGTGCAAACGTCATGCAATAAACTTACCTCTTGTTTTTACATCAGCTGGGCTGGACATTGAGTTTTTTGGGGGACTGTGCGATTTGTGGAGACTCCTCGATCTGAGGGTCTTTCAAAATAATTTCCTAGGTCCCTGCCTGCTCTCTATAACAAATAATCCCTCCCTGACTGGCAGGCCTTGGCTATCTGCTTCCAAATTCCTAGGGGTAAGGCTTCTACAGCAATATTCCTCATTAGCATCTGGGTGAAAACCACTGTTGATCTATAATGAACGTAAGCCATCCTTAGTTCCTTGAGCTGCTTAAACGGTATCAGTGTCTGCATCTTGCTTCTGTTTCTCTGAGTATCTCTATGCTCCTGTATAGGAAATGTCTGAAATCCCTCACCATCTCTTTCTATCTGCCGCTAGTCTGCTATTAGCTTGTATTGGAGACATCTAATCTCCTGTGGCTGCCCGCCAGGACTCAAAGGGTGTCTGGACCTTAGGCTGGCCCATGGTTGATGCTTTCCCAGACAAAGGAGCATTTCTCTGATCTGAGGAAACTGCAAATTTCTCCTGTGAGAGAGATTCCACTAAATCTTTCACGCCTCTTAGCTCCTGCTGAATTTTACCACTGGGTTTTTGCCTCTCTGTATTCCTAGTTTAAAATGAAGGAGGTGAAGACTTTCCATCCTGATACTTAGCAACTCTCTCTTCATACTCATCCAATTCCTCTGCCCTGTATATTCTTTTTCACCTAGCTACTCCTCAGTAAGTCTCTGGTCTCTATTACATTGCTAACCAGTTCCGGGGCAGATATTTCCTCCTGTCCTGCACATAGGCTCAGTCACACCATTTCCCCAAGCCCACGGCAGCTCTGATATAGCTGCTGCCTTGGCTTCAGCGAGAGTGAGGGATCCTTTCAAACTTGTTTTTTGTTGTTGTTGTTGTTTTTTGTTTTTTTCGAGACAGGGTTTCTCTGTGGTTTTTAGAGGCTGTGCTGGAACTAGCTCTTGTAGACCAGGATGGCCTCGAACTCACAGAGATCCACCTGCCTCTGCCTCCCGAGTGCTGGGATTAAAGGCGTGCACCACCAACGCCCGGATCCTTTCAAACTTTTAAACTCTAAAATGTTCTGTACTTGCTTTTTGCTCGCCTGTCTATTAAAATACACCAAAGTAAATATACAATCATCTGACTAATCATTCTCTGTCTCATATCTCTATATACATTGTTACTCTCAAGGTTAACTCACTTCTCTTTATCATCTGCCTAATATTCCTGGTCATTACTATTTATAACCAACCCCATTTAAGTGAAAATATACACTCATAAACAACATTTGGAATGTGGGCATTGTTATCTCCAAACCACTTCCTGCTGATTGGGGTGCTGAAATACCTACCATAGGGATCCTAAGAAAACCAAGAAATCCTGACGGTAGTGGTCTGTGACTGCACCCTCCCAGCTGTCTTAGATGCTGGATCTCCTGGCCATTGCTTCAGGGAGTCTCAATTCATCAAACCATGTTAGTCTGAAAGGAACCCACAGCTTCTCATTTTCTGTAGAAATAAAAGCAGAAATTCTTTTCCCAAGTAACCTGTCCTTATATTTAAATTTTGAAGTCAAAGTATTTTTAAAATTTAAAGTTGGATTAATTCAGCAGCATTTATACTTAAATATCTGTTAGCAGCTGTTGCTCTTTCCTTAGCAATTGAACAATTCAAAGACAGCACAATAGCTTACACTATCCGGACTCTCTGTCAAAATTTTTTTTTTTTTAACTTTCATTTTCTCCTTGAAACTTTTCATTTTCTTTTTAAAACTGTATTTTTTTTTTACTTTTTGTTTTCTTTTTAAAACTTTACTTTTTATTTTCTATTATTTTTACTTTCCATAACCATTCCACTAATGGAGAGATGGCTCAGAGGTTAAGAACACTAGCTGCTCTTCCAGAGGTCCTGAGTTCAATTCCCAGCACTCACATGGTGGCTCACAACCATCTATAATAAGATCAGGTGCCTTCTCTGGCATGCAGGCATACATGCAGGCAGAACACTGTATGCATAATAAATAAATAAGTAAATAAATAAATCTTTGCCAGGTGTTGGTGGCATATGCCTTTAATCCCAGCACTCCGGAGGCAAAGGCAGGTGGATCTCTGTGAGTTCGAGGCCAGCCTGGTCCCAAGGGCTGTGTGTCAGGGCTACACAGAGAAACCCTGTCTCAAAAAACCAAAAAAAAAAAAAGAAAAAAAGAAAAAAATTCCATTAACTGCAGTCTAACTGCAGTTGTCTTGCTTCTCTATTTCCAATCCAAGTCTCTCAGGAGTTGAGGCACCCTTCCAGTACCTTTACCAACCCAACTCTCTTAGGAGTTGGGGCACCAATCCACCCTCATAAACCTTACTTGCTGGCCAAACTTCGGAGGGTGATCTCTCAGGGTCCCCTTTCTTTCTCCATCTCGGTGGGACCTCCACTAAGTCCGATTATTGGGCAAAAGCCTGGAGATTTAGTTAAAAGCAGAGATGTCTGGCCGCTTGTGCTATGTGCATCTTTCCATCTTTATTCATCTGCCGTTTTCTAGGGAGAGAGCAGCCTTATACACACTTACAGCACAGTGGAAAAATCCCAGGTGTAAGAGCTTGTGGAAGAGGAGCTTGTGTTTTCTGTCGTGACCCACGATGTCTCAGCCTTAATCCATGAGGTTCAGTCTGAGTGGGGGTGTGTGGACCTGAAAGCTCCTAGCAACCCCGAGGCGATAAAGACCAAACACAGGCATCTTGTCATCTTTAGAGAGCTCTCAGTTCTATGCTGTAGAACTAGAGTCATTTCTTTATTAGCCATCCTTTCTATTGTTTTTTAACCATCCTGTCAATACCACGAGGGAACCATCTCTATCTTTGTTCTCCTCTCTCCTCTCTGGTCACTGGCCCTCACTCCTGTCCTCCCTAGTCATTCACACACCTTGCACCCAGGTGCAGGCCTATTCAGATGCTTAGGCCCACAGAGATGCAAATAGGAGGCATATTACCCTGAGGCCATGGTAAAAATAGTAGCCTTACTGGCATTAACAATACAATAGTGGGCCGAGCTTTCCAGTGTTCCATGTTTTCTGAAGGTGGGGGCTGGGCCCCAAAATATTCCATAGCAGAAATATTTTGGTCCCCCACAGTTTTCCCTGGTGTAGTGGGGCCAGGCTGGGGCTGTAAGCCAGGACTAGGACACAGCATGCACCTGTGGTTATTGGCTGACAAGCAACTCACAGAGACCCTGTGGGGGCTGGGACCCAACAATGAGCCATGTCTCCAACCCCACTGTGGGGATATTTTATGTATTTATTTGTTTGTTTATCCATTCACTTATTTATTTTTTGAGATAGGGTTTCTTTGTAGCTTTGGAGCTTGTCCTGGAATTCCCTCTGTTGACCAGGCTAAACTTGAACTCATAGAGATCCACCTGCCTCTGCCTCCCGAGTGCTGGGAATAAATGGGTGCACCACCACCACCACTGCCATCTTCCAGCTTGACATTTTATATTTAAATCATAACTCTGTGTGTATATATATGTGTGTTTTCCTCATGTTTGAGGTTTCCCCCCACAACCCTTGAGTAATCAGCTCATATAATAGAGCACACAGCACACTCTTTTAGCACCAGGCGGCTGAGGCAGGAGGATCTTGAGTTCAAGGTCAGCCTGGACTCTTATCTGCCTCACAGCCTCAACTCCAAAATCAAAGAGGCAGGGGTGGCAGTTCAGCAGCACAGTGTGTACTTGACCCTGGCTGTGATCCTCAGCACCGAATTAAAAAAAAATTCGAAGAGAGAGCATCTAAGGAATTCTGCCTTTTAATGTTTATTTGGGAACAGCAGAGCATTGCCATGGCAACCCCCATGCCATCATAAATCATGGGTGTAGTCAAAGAGCTTGGGGAAGAAATTTTTAAAGATAAAGATGCTGGCATCAGACATTTTAAAACAATAATCTGTGGCCACAATGACTAATAACAAGAGTGACATGGATCTAAGCAGACAGCTGCTGCAGGTGTGTAAAGTTCTGGGTAAAGTTGCTGTGGCCTCTGCAAACTTGTGTCTTTGGGATTGTCTTTTGAGACAGTTTCAGGTGGCCACAAGTAAGAATGTTTCCTACATAACCTTCCTTCCAAGATCATTTGTTGTTTTTCTTTTCATCTTTTTTTTTCTTTCCTTTTTTTTTTTTTCTTTTTTTGGTTTTTCGAGACAGGGTTTCTCTGTGTAGCTTTGGAGCCTATCCTGGCACTCATCTGGAAACCAGGCTGGCCTCGAACTCACAGAGATCCGCCTGCCTCTGTCTCCCGAGTGCTGGGATTAAATTCGTGTGGCACCAATGCCCGGGTCTTTTTGGTTTTTCTAAGACAGGGTTTCTCTATGTAGCTCTGAACTGGAACTCACTGTGTAGACCAGGCTGGCCTGTAACTCATAGACCTCACCCTGCCTCCTGAGTGCTGGGACTAAAGGTATGTGCCACTACCTCTCAGCTTTACCAAGACATTTAAACTACCGTTGTTTTTATTATTGGTTGTGTGTGTGTGCACAAGCATGAAAGTCAGACCGTGTAGTAGTCCCGACTCACAGGACAGCAACCAAGGGCAAGATATCTAGGGAGGGGAATGGGGACAAGAAACACAAGAGAATGACCACAAGACAAGATTCTGATCAAGTGGCAAATTTTATTTTTTCCAGGCTAGCTTATATAGTCTGTAGTATAGGGTAAGGGGAGCGGGAGAAAAGGCCAAGAGCCAGGTGTTAATCCAAGCAGGATGTTAGAAATGTATGGAAGGAGGGTGTTGACAGGGTAAAAAGTTCATGTGTAGTGGGGAGAGGGAGGGTTACCAGGTGAGTGGTGGGACGAGGGAGGGTTGCGTAGGTAAGTTGGCCTATGGTTGGAACAAAGGATTGACGTCTGGGTCATGTTGTTCCTTTTGGGTGCTCATGCATCTAGAAGCCATTTATAATCAAAAGACAGTTATATAACCCTGTGGCTTGCCTAGTTTGGCCTAAAGGTTCATGCCAAGCTGTATGGCTCCCAACAAGACAGCTGCTAGAATTGCTTCTCTCCTTCCACCATATGGATCCTGGCCTTAAACTCAGTTGGTCATGCTTAGCGGCAAGCATTGTTATCCATACAGATATCTTGCTGGACCTCTTTTTTTTTTAAATTATTATTTATGTATACAGTGTTCTACCTGTATGGTCTAGCACCAGATTCCATTATAGATGGTTGGGAGCTACCACAAGTTTGCTGGGAATGAACTCAGGTCCCCTGGAAGAGCAGCCAGTGCTCTTAACCACTGAGCCATTTCTCTAGTCCCCTCTCTTTGTTTTTTTGTTTGTTGGAATGTCTGTGTACATCATGGGCATGCCTGGTGCCTGTGGAGGCCAGAAAAGAGTATCAGATCCCTGGATCTGATACAGGTGGTTTTGAGCCATCTTGTAGCTTTCAACTGAACCTAAGTCCTTTGCAAGAGGACTCTTAAGCATTGAGCCACCTCTCTAACCCGCTGAGCTGCTTGCAGGCTGTGCAGTGTGCTCCAGGTTCCCAGCTTTGTCAACTGTCAATCATGCTGAGGTGAGCTTTGGTGAAGCAGCTGTTGGGGGTCATTTCTGATGCTGTAACTCCGATAAACTCATAATTGGATTTTGGTGATATCTCTATTTTGGTTTGTCAGGGGTTCCCTGTCTGGGGTGAGTAGAAGCATGTGCTTTTCACACATTTCTCTCACAAAGCAGAGTGGTGGTAGCCCAAGCCTTTAATTCCAGCACTCAGGAGGCCAAGTCCAGCGAACCTCTGTGAGTTCCAGGCCAGCACGGTCTACAGAGTGAGTTCCATGACAGCCAGGACTATTTCAGAGAAGCCTTGTGTCAAAAAACAAAAAAATAAACAAACCCTCACATTTCTCTCACAAAATTCAAGAAAGATGCATAAAGAAGGTTAACTTAGTGGTTAAAAGGACATAGGGTTCTTCTAGACCTGAGTTGGAGTTCCAGCACTGCACTCACAGCCCCTCTTTTGGCCTCTATGGGCACCCATACACATGTGGCAGACACACTAATAAAGTAAGTCCTTATGCTGGGTGGTTGGTGGCGCCTTTAATTCCAGCACTCGGGAGGCAGAGGCAGGCGGATCTCTGTGATTTGAAGGCCAGCCTGGTCTACAAGAGCAAGTTCCAAGAGTCAAAGCTACAGAGAAACCCTGTCTTTGAAACAAATAATGGAAGAAAAAAAAAAAAAGACAAGATAACCAATCAACATCCTGGGATAAACTCACTTTGTAGGAGTTAAAACCTCAATGGTCTACTTCTTGTCCCAGCTGTGAGAGCAAGCTGTACATGAGAGCCTGCTTACCAAGGTGGCCATGCAGGTGGAAGGGAAGGAGGACACGTAAAGGAGATGGGGAGATTCAATCCTTGTTTCTACAGTGCTGGGATGGAAGCCAGGGCCTTGCTCATGGCCGGCAAGTGTTCTGTCACTCAACAGCATCTCCAGCTTGAAATCCTCACAGAAAACCAACCAATCAATGATGGCAGACATGGCCAAGTCCACAGGTAGTTACATGGGTTTGTTATTCAGACATGAAGAGAACACACAAACAGACGTCTACCATGGCAGACGGCTCTGTGGGCCGGTGTGTGGGCTGTGCCCCTTCAGCCTGCATGACATGTGCGGCGGTGGCGGCAGATCTGGGGTGAGAGTTCACAAGACTAGCTTTGCTTTGGACAGCAATCACGAGTGACTTGTCATCTCCGCTGCTCCCTCCAACTCGAGCTGGTCTATCCCAGTATTCTGTGGCTTTACATTGGCAGCTCAGACTCCTGGCCTCCCTTTAGGGCTGAGGGTGAGGGCTGTCAGAGCAGGAACAAGCTGCACTGGAGAAGGCCCTTGGTCTTTGCAACTTGTTCTCTTGGCTCCTGCTACCTCTGATCCAACGTGAAACACTTGGTTCAGGGAGCTGACGGATGTGGCTCTTGTCACAGCCCCGGGGATCAGGGTGCCAGGTAAAACTGAGAGGATTCAGTCAGTGCAAATGGGAGGCAGGCGGAGACTGGACCCCAGCCTGGTTCCAGACACCCAACTTAGGAATCAGGTTGTCCCACCTGCTCCTTTCAGTGGTCCTACCTGCCTCAGGCTGGAAGATGGTAGCTTATGAATGTCTCTCTGGGAGCACAAGAGCTTAGTCTGAGCTGGAGATGCCACCTGTAGTGTTTGGCACTCAGACTGACTTCCTGCTCCCTGGCATCAGGCCGTCAGAGCAATTCTGCTTTCCACTTGGCTGGACGAATAAGAGAGCAGCCAGGAGTAACCCAACATGAAGATAGGAGACCTATGGGAACGGGCACCTAAGAAGTTTGGCTGAGGTCAGAACAGCAAGGCCAATCAGCTCACAGGCATGCGGATGGTATCAGTTTGCCAGACCCTGGGTCCCCAAGCTTATCAGTCCAGAATGGCTGTCAACACAGGGCCTCCTCTGTGGCTGCTCAAGGGAGGAGACTGTAGCATCACCTAATCTCCCCTCTCTGCCCCTTGGCTAGGGCCGGGAATGGGTAGGTAACTCCTGCTCTAGTAAACTTTCTGGGTCATTCCTGAGCAGGGAGAGGACATCAACTCCTGTATCTAGCTCCTCTCTCCAGAAACCAGAGTCCCGGTTCTGGTGAGCAAGAGGCTGTGAGAGTCAGGTTCAGCACCTTGGAGAAGGGAAAGCCGCACCTTTGGAGCCTGGAAGTGTATTTAAACTCAGGTTTATGCCCATAGAAGCAGCATAGAATATGAGATTGATCAGCTTTCAGGTGATGACTCTGGCCAGGCTGCTACCAACCCCTTCTGGGATGGATTGCCTCTAGCATCAGGGAGCATCTGCCTCATCCTGCAAGAGGCCCACATTCTCAACACTCCGGGCCAGTTCAAAGCTGTAGCCTGCAGTTTCCCCTACCAAGATCCTTTACTCCCCAGCACTGGGCCCTAGAGCAGGTTCTCCAGCACCTTGATTAGCCAATCAGGTTCTCAGGAGCGATGGGGGGGAGGGGCTGGTTTTAGGACTGCTGGGTTCCCTCTATGCCAAAGACCACGGAACACCCCCACATTCATCAGCATCATGGGTGGGACCAGAAAAGGTCAGGGGTCTCAACTGAGCTTGTTATAAATACACGTGTTTTGTTGGGCGACAGAGGGCATAGACGGTGCTGTACAGAGCTGGTATAGGTTTGGGGCCAAACGCCACAGAGATAGACAGACAGACACAGAGACTGAGTCCACCCAGCAGGGCAGGCCAGGCAGCATTCTGGGGCCTGTAACACTTGGTTGGTGGGCAAGAGTCATCTGGGAGTCTGGTCCAGGGCTGGTGGGGCCCCAGACACCTTGGAAGCTCCTTGGTCCAGTCCGATTGAGGTCTCGGGTGGTGTTGCAGTGGCACCTAGGCTCAGCTTATGTCATTCAGGGCCTGGTGGGACACGAAGGGTGTCAGGAAATGTGTAAGGTGTGCAGGACGAGGCGGCACAGCTGGGACTTGGGAGGCCACTCACCTTTCGGGTAAACTCGGGCAGCACAAAGGCCGCACGGTGCATGTCTGAGTTATAGTATTTCAGCTGCATCTGCTCCACCTGGGCCTGTGTCAGCTGCTGCACTGGCTCCCGGAAGTTGGTGCTCTGGGGGTCACAGACCAAGGGGTATCAAGACGGGTCTCTGAGTGCCTGCCCGTGCCCTGCCTTGTGGGTAGTCCCCAGCTCACCGGGTTTTTGCTGCATAGCATGAAGCCTATCTGGCCGCTTGGATAGGTGGGGATGGTGCAGTAGGCATAGCCCACCACAGGGAACAGAGACTTGCAGAAGTGCCTCATCTCCTTGATAAGGTCCAGATGCAGCCACTGACACTCACCTGTGGGGGGAGGCTGCGAGTCAGCCTTCTTACAGAGAGGGCAGCTGGCCCACACAGCACCCCACTGTGCCCATACTCACCCTGGCAGCAAAGAATGCCGTCTTCCTTGAGTGCCGTCTTCATAAGTTGGTAATAGGACTCCTTGAAGAGGCTCTCAGCTGGGCCTAGAATGGAAGAGACCCGAGGCCACAGTCACCCATAACACAGCCACATAGTTAGTTAGTGGCAGAGCCGGTGTTGGTTCCAAGTCTGTGGAATGTGGAGCCTCCTGCCTTGACACCTAGGGGCCCTGCATTTAACCCACTCCCACCACAGCACACCCAGATGCTGGCCAACCAAGAACAGCGGAGTGGCTGAAGAAGAAACCGAGGTTGCTATAGCCCAAAGCCAGACTCCACTCTCCTCAGGTTTCCATCATCTGTAGTGTCAAAGGAGAACACAGCTCCCTCTGGCTTGGGTGCTACTGCCCTGGCTCACCCATAGGGTCTGAGGAGTCGGTGATGATGACATCAAAGGCATCTTGGTTCTTTTTCATGAACTCAAAGCCATCGCCCACATGGAGGGTTAGCTTTGGGCTGGAGTAGCCGATGGCCATGCCAGGCAGGAACTTCTTGGAGACTTCGATGACATCCTGGGGAGGGGGACAGGAGGGACTGGACTGAACTGGAGGTCAGGGACTCCTGGTTGGGTCTCCTTGGACAAGCCCTTCCCTTTTGGAACCCTAGTTTGCACAGACGTATAAAATGGAGGCACTCTGGCGCCTTAGCAGCTTCAAGCGGCTGGCTGGTTCTCACCTGATGCCCACTCAGGCCGCAACTTCCTACAGACCCATTTGAGTGGGGCTTTCTTGACTCTTTTATAAAATTTCTGAGACAGGGTCTCACCTGGAACTCTGGATCTTCCGCTTCTATCTCCTAAGTGCTGGGGGGGTCACAGGTATGTGTGGCCACAGACTTCCTAGAGCCTGTACCTTCCTGTGTCTTCTGCACCATCTACCCTCATCAGGACACTCTACAAAACGCATCAGCTGCTCAGGGACTCACTTGTCCATCACTGTATCATTCCAGAACCTAGGGCAACACTCAGCATACAGCGCTCACTAAAAGCCCATTGGGCAGAAAGAGCGGATGCTTTAGTTGTTGGAGATGCACCTGGCCCTGCCTGGGCCTAAGGCACAAACCAGTTCTGAACATACTAAGAATTAACATGCGTGGTGCTGGGTGTGCCAGGTTTTAACCACCTGGTTCTCCTACTGAATCATCTTTTCAGACTGAAGTAAGAGGCCAAGGATGGGAACACCGAGCCTCAGGGTGCCGAGTCAGGATGGGACGGAGATGACCCTGGTGACTCAAACCCAGGCGTCCTGCACAGCACCCACCTCATCGATCTCGCACTGGACCACAGACTCCACAGAGGGGTGCTTCACCACTTCCCGTAGGACGCCCCCATCTCCACCCCCGATGATCAGCACCTGGGAGGGGGAAGGACAAGTCAGGGCTGAGCAGGTCTGCTCCCACAGAACCTGGAGCTGTCAATGCTCCCAGCTACAGGTCTCTGAGTCATTTTCTACTCTCAGGAACCCTGTGTGTCTTGGGGTCCTGGCAGCCAGGGTTCCCCGTCAGGCTTCTCAAGAGACCAACTCCCCCAGGTGCTCCACTCACCCTGACTGGCAATTTCTGACAACCATCTGGGTAGCATCTGGCCCCACACCTCACCTAGCGCCAGATCTTTTTTGGGACCCTGAGCTCGGGGCCGAAGCCGGGGGGTGGCGGTACCTTCCGCGGGTTGGGGTGGCTGCAGAGCGGCAGGTTGGCGATCATCTCCTGGTAGGAGAACTCGTCCCTCTCAGTACACTGGATGACGCCATCCAGAACCAGCACGTTGCCGTAGCTTTTACTGTGGGCAGAGTGATGGTCGGGGATGTGGGTCCCGGGGCACGGGGAGAACAGGTCCTAGGCCGCCCTGGGCGGCACCGTGGCCCCCGCGGGGGCCCGGTGTGGGCCGGCAGGGGGGCCCCTGGCCGGCCGGCCGCGGGGGGGGGGCGGGGGGGGGCGCGGGGGGGTGGGGGGCGGCAGGGGGGGGGCGGGGGGG